ATGCTTTCATATGCAAAATATCTAATTTTTTTTATTAAGTCTTAAGGTTTGTAAAGCAATGTTTCTCTCATGCTTTTTTTTTTTTTTTGTATCTTGCCTTTCTATCATGAAAAGTAATTTTCATCTTAACATTAAAAATACTTTTGAGCTACAGAAAGTGTAAAATTGCTAAACTATCACTCCTGTTTATAATACATAGTGTGACCTGTAGGTTGTTTTGGCACAGTACACACTATAGTGTGTGTCTTGATTAAGCAAGTTTAATATTATTTGTTTTTTTATTAGAACACTGAAGAATCACAAATGCACTAGTAAAATATTAGTTAGTTAACTCACGAGAAAGACAGATAACACTGAATGAAGTTAACATGAATGTCAACATGTTTTATAACTCCATTTTCATTATTTTATTTAACTTACTTTTATATTTCATTTGAAGTTTATTTTTAATATTTATAGGGACAGGAGAGATTTTACGTTGTGATGTCATTGTGGATGCTATTCACTCAATTGAAATCATCACCACTACAAGAGAACTATATCTGGAGAATGCGCCAGAAGCATTTGAGGTCCATGCTAAAAATGATCAAGGTGTAAAACATAACTTTTTGTTTGTTTGGTGTATATTTTGTTTTCCAAATAAATGTGTAATATTATCTCAAACAAGTTGTTTACATAATACTTGTCTCTACATCCAAGACAAAAATGAAATTAATTTTGGAAAGTTTATTTGAAATATAAAATAATTTGCATAGTTACTATAGTGTTAATGATGACAAAAATTTACAGATTAAGCAAGTTTTATTTTAAATGTAAAGTAATTTAACCTATATAAAAATCCCGTGTGTGTGTGTGTGGCACATCACGTTTGATTTCTCAAAATAGGAGTCATCATAAAAGCCAAAATGCATTTATCCAAATAGAATAGCTTGATTACTGTCTGCCCATTACAATTTCAGTGATGTGGTTGTGTGTGTTTGTGCCGTGAAACCTTATAAGTGCAGTGAGTGTTAGGATCACCTAGCCTAGAGCCAAGTGCATAAAATTTATCATAAAAGTAAAAATATTGATTCAATTTTAAACTTAAATCATTTCTGAATTAAACTATTTTCTGTTATATTACTAACATGTTAAGTAAAAAACAAACTTTTAATCAATGGAGAATTTAAATTAGGAAATCAACAAATATTTTTCCAGTTTTGTTGTTTATACATTTCATTTTATACTTTCAGTACATAGACTAACAATAATATAAGGTTATACTTTTGTTGCTAAGCAACTTGACATATAAGCCATTGTTGGAATGTAGTGTTACCAAAACTCACTGGCTTTTCTATATATTAGAAGTTGTTAATCTAACTGATTTTTATCAGAATTATTTTTTGAATACACCATGAATTCATTTCATGAG